CAATTAAGCTTAGCATTTTACTTGTTGGATAGTGATTTGTATAAAATGTTAGGATACAACCTTGATTAATAGAGGAAAAAAGTAGAGAATATAAAAATTAAGTAAATTAAGACACGTGAAATAGGCCAAAAAAAAGTGAACTATATACATTGCCTTGAGGAACAAGTATATAGTCTTTATTTATTCTTTTTAAGCAACTTAGTGATATTATATTTGAGTTTGCTTGTAATTTTTGTAAATGAAAAACAAATCTGCTATGTCATCTTCTTATTCATTTGTTCCAACAATCTGGATTCCTAACCCAGAAGAGAGTAAAGTGCAGAAGGTGATTAGCTTCATTAGTTATATATCTCAGGTTTCACATGAAATGGCTTTATATTTACAATCTAGTTGAAGTTGTACCAGAGTTCAATTCTTCTGTTAAATATTGAAATCATAAAGATATGTATCAATGATATTTATTGATTTCATTTTTGTTATGGGATATAATGGTGATCAAGTTGTCCTTGTATTCACTTGTTTTGTATAATTTGTATTCATTTTCTGTTTTTGTATAATGGAAATGTAGTAGTTTTAAGATTATAAATGCCTTGCAAAATTGAAGCATGAAAGTACATCTAATTCTAGATTCTATATTATAAAGATTGATTCGGTACATCTAATTTTAGCCACAAAATACATAGATTGTGTTTTTCATAAGAACATGTATTATGTATGCTAAATGTTCACTAAAAAACCATCAAAAGATTTTGTCTATTTTTCATGTACTAATTACATAGGCAGGTTTATCTAATTTGTATATAGATAGAGGGTTATGGAAGGATACTAACTTTTTACAAGATACAAAATACCAAAATGCAGTAACAATATATGTTACTTTTAGTAGCCACTAAAGTTATGATGCTGCAAAATGAGCAAAATGCAGTCTTTATATGTTGGTACTTGGAAGTTGAATATGTACTCTAGCAAAATGAAATTCTCACCCAATCTTGAAAGAGTTGTTCTGCATAGTTCATGGTGTGATATTGGTGTTTCAGATCTCTTCTTTGTTTTCTTCACCTTCTCCTGTAGCCTCAGCTGCTGATATGTTGGTTTGTTGTTCAGAAGATGTTGCTCTATGTACGTTACTGCTTGTTTCACTGAGTGACAGGTGTTGTTTTCTTTTCACTGATGTTCGAACTTGTTTTTGCAGTGACCAGTTAAGGAATGGAGTTTTATTATCGGTAGAACTAATGACAACTGCTTCTATTGACCACTTCAGTGTGTTGCTGGCAGTCAATGCCGATGTTGGTCCAACCTTAAAATTGAACAACTTTGAAGTAATCTCCAGTTCTTCAATGTTAAAAGACATAGAGTCTTGCTGTGATGTTATTAATTGTTGTGAGTACTATTTGGAATGAAAAAAGAATCTAATTCCTTCTTTAGGAAATGTATTTCACACTTAATATGCATATTTGTTTAGTGGGATAAAAATTCTTACACTTTTCTTCATGGCCTGGAGCTGTTCGGCTTTCATTCCAAAGATTTTCTCAGTTTCATTGTTAAGTGCTGTGAAGGAGATGCTGTCAGTAGCATCAATAGCTTCAAAAGTGAAAGCAACTCTGCATGAAAAAAGTTGAATATATAGTTATAGAAGTATCTAATTTTCAAAATTTGATATAAGTAGTTGTAGTAGAATTTTTATATGCCTGAAACATGACACTGTTTCTCATGTGTAGCATTTTCTACATGCAAAGTGTCTTCCCTCTGGGTAATTTGTGGGTTTTCCACATTGTAAGCAGCCTAGGTATATTGCAGACTGTATTGTTGCAGATATCCAATGCTTCTGCATTCGGCGGCTGTTTACATTATCATAGTTAGTTTGGTTTGATGATCATTATGGAGTTAGTTATATATAATTAAATGAAGTATAGAGTTTTTCATTGTATAAGAATGTATAGTTTGAGGAACTAACCTTTTTTTCTTTCAGATATTGAATTGTGACAGTGTCTTGGTCTGTTTGAGGATTACGAACTTGTAGAATTCTGTCTTGTCGATCTAGCAGCAGTTGGGTGTAAAGTTTTGCCCTGTGTATTGATTTTTGTGTTAAAATAGGTGATATGAAGTCAAATTTATTTTTCATAACTTATAAAAGTAGTACAGATACCATTCACGCAGAACATTAGCTCTATCACCCTGTGGATCGTAGATAATTTTACTGGTCATTCCAGTAGATAGAGAAAACCCTATAAGAAAAATATGAGGATCAGCCTATGTTCAATGCTAATAATTAGACTTATTGTTTAAAGTGGAATACTAACCTTGTATCCTACTGGGTTTAACTGATGTGAATCCAACCATTATGAACTTTTCAGCCCACACATTCAAAGTATCAGATGCAGTTCCAGCTAAATGATTCCATAAATTAACAATCACAGGTTGTGCATTCCTATTTCAATATGATATAAATTAGATTTGTTATATTTTGGTTATTGAATTGTATAATGATTTGAATATGAAAGAGATTGGACATAGCCTTACATTTGATCTGTTATAACAACCTCTCTAACATAGTCTTGGTGCCCATAGAAAGAGTCTACAAGCCGAGCTTCTTCTTCTAGAAATAATACTACACCTAATACATCTAGAAAGAGGATGCAAGTGTTAATAACTTCTGTATCAACATTTGTTTAACATTTATATTTGTATGTATCTGATATACCATATGTAGAGTCATCACAAATATCTTCTGTGAAAGTGGTTCCTTGTTTCAGTTCTGCAATAAAGTCGTGTTAAATACCTGATAGAATATATTCAAAATTGAATTGAAGCAGTACTCTATCATACCACATATTTCATCAAGAAAATGAGTTGTAGCAATTGTAGAGATTTGAGCAAAATCAGGTTCTGCATGACCAGTTCTTGGACATATTGGATGAATCACAGCTGGTGCTCCAAAAGCTAATTCATATGGAATTTTTGTAGCAGCAATCTTAAAATGTGGTGGCATCAGATTCACAGGAGCATTGATAATCTCATAATGCTTGTTCATTGAAAATTTTGGTCCAATAGTTTGTATCTCATCTTCTATCAAACGACCATGTATCAAAGTTCCCTATTTAACAATAAATATAAGTGTATGTGTTAAAAAGATATTGTTAAAATAGAAGATCTTTTAAAATTTTGCATGATAAAATTGATAAAATTAACAACAGAATTTATAATTTAATTTGCACTTGAGGTTATTATATTAAGTGGTATAGGTATTAATTATATGTTTATCTACTTATTTTTGTATGAAATTTGTCCTTTATTGCCAGAATACGAATTTGGTACTTAATATTCTAGTATATCAATCATTTTTATGATCAATATGCATAATTATATGGCTTTATCTATGTTGAAACTCATAACAGATAACTATATGGTGATTTTTCTTTTGATAATTATTATATGCAATCTGGTTTATAATAAGGACAAGGGAGGCTATGTATATGTTATTAGAATACAAATTACACCTTTTTCATCAATGAATAGCAGTGTTTGATAGAGAAAGTACAAAAAATACCTTTTCATCAGCAAATAGGTATGTTTCATAAAGTGTACCATCAGTAAAAGATTGATGCTGATTTCCAATGGTTACTAATTTCACTTGGATTCTGTATTCTTTACTTTCAGGATTTAGTTCTTCAATATACAACAATTCTGGCTTCATTTTTAGCTCTGTATTCAATAATCAAATATGAGATTAGGTAATGGATTGTTGGCATGCAAATTTGTTAAGAAATGTAATAAGACATAAGCAATATAAACATAGCAAGTTTAGTAGCATTTATTTTATAGTGTTACATTAAAGAGGAAGTAAATTACCTAGGTTTGTAGAGTATTTTGTAGCTGCCTTTCGTCTGCTTTCAGTATTATAATAGTGAATCAAAGAGTTTTTTTTTGTGTGTGTGTGTGTGTGTTTTTTTTTTTTTTTTTTTTGTAAAAGTAAATTTCTGATTTCTAAGGATGAACTATTTATAATAGAGAATGAAAGTGAATAGATGGTTTAGATTTAGTGCAAGTAAACCTATGGCTGATCTTTGTTGCATGAACTTTTCTATATATTGTTAATTATATTGGTCTGTGGTAGTGGAATATTTTGCAGAGAAGATTTTGATCTTTTTTTTAACTTAACTTTTGTAATAAGCATAAGACTATCATACCTATACTTTTTACTGTTTAGATTTGCATGTATATTAAGACTGAAAAAAAAAAAAAGAAAGGTTAAGTTTGCTTAGCTATGTAACTATTTTGTTGCTTCTTTAGATCAATGTTTTCTGTTAAGAAGTGTTTTTTAGATATTTAGTTTAAAAGTGACTTAATGGAAATCTAGTTCATATGGTTTGTCTAATTACATTCATAGATTACAATTCAAACTATAGCTATTTGTATATATAATATTGTCTGTAAATGTTCTTAGTTTGCTTGTTATTATTATACAATGAGTAATAGATGAAATTAAAATCATAATAAGAGAGAAGGGAGAGAATAACAGAGAAATAAAGAATAGGAGTAAGGGAAAATAGAGAGACTAAAAGCATGTAAGGAGAATGAGGAAAACAGAAATAAATAGGTGACTTGGTAAAGGCTAAGATTATATAGAAAGATCAAGGGTACAAGGAGGAGAAAGTGCATGAAGATTTAAGTTCTTTTAGGACATCATTATAGAATAAATGTCTTTTTAATGAATTTATAAATTATAAATTGTTATAAAGCAAAATCAACTTTCTAAGCTTTTAAATTTGTCAATATAAGCTAACTTTATATAATAACATTAGCTGAACCATGTATACTATAAATCAATAATATCAAACTGTAATAAGCTGCACTATTAATATAATTTAACATCATTTCATTAAAAGTAAAGTAATAAGAGCTTTCCTTTGCATTGAACCATAGAAATAGATGAGTTATCATAAACATCATATATTACACACTTACATATTTTAAGTATACAAAAGCAAAATATTCATGTTGCTAAATTAAAGGTCCATCAAAGCTAACTTAACTAAGTCAGTAACATGCATGAATAAGCATTATTCTTATAAAGTTTTCATCTTTCAAGTCATGCATGACACAAAATATATTTCTATCCAAAAAATTTCATCACCATTTTGCTAAAGTACTAAATATATTTTAATGTCTAACAAGCTATGTTACTTTATTGATGTTGCATATCCATAGTATCCACAATTTCAAGCTGGTTGTTGATTTTCACAACACCTCTTCGTGTTGTATTTATAGCTTCTGTTGCTGTAGACAGAGAAGTCAAGGAGCGTTTCTTTGGTGTTGCCTTTGTGGGAATGGCTTCAGTACCTTTTTTCGCCCCTTGTTCTTGATTGATAGAATCATCAAATTGCTGAACAGGGTCAAAAGATAAGAAATCTTGCATTGTGGAACCTGAAGCAGCAAAGTCACCAAGTATAGTAGGATTCCTATCTTTCTCAACACTTTTGAGCTTGGCAATATGTGTTTCAGTATACCTTTTCTTAGCTGGCTGCTGTGATAACTCTAGCAATGAGTTAGCTGTGGCCATATCATCAGTTTCTTCAGATTCTGTTGCCTTAACATTTTCAGAATTCGTAGTGTGTGATTTAGGTACTTGTATCAGTTCATTCTGACCAGAAGACAAGTTTCCTGCTTTTTTTTCTTCAGCATTGTGATTCTGTGCAAGTGTTGAAGACACTGACATGGAATTGCTATCGTTTTCTTTTATGCTGCTCACTTCAACTTTTATGTCTTTCAAACACCACTGAAGAACATTGTTTCTTGAAAGAGCTGTTGTTGGACCTACTTGTACCAGAACATGGCTGTCACAAATCTGCTGCTGAATTGAATCAAACATCTGAACATTTTCCTATGTAACCATTATCAATGTGACAATTATGTTATTCCATAAAAACAGGTAAAAGTTCATTAAATTATGAAGGCATTGCAGTAAGTATAAATATCTGAAAAATGCTTACAGAGTGTTTTATCAAATGAATTTTGTGTGCAGATATTCCAAATAGTTTTTCTGTGTCAGTCGTAAAAGTTGTGAAAGTCATTGTTCCTGAGTCATCTATGGCTTCAAATTTGAATGTAGCTCTGCAATGATATCAAGGTGAATTCTCTATATTAGTAATATATAGTTATGCTGCTGCATTGAAAAGTTTACAGTTCACATTTCTTACCGATATGCAGAAATGCTATCTTTTTTTTTGCAGTTGGCACAGCTAAACTCTGTCCCAACTGGAATATCTATGTGTTTCCCACAAGCTGAACACCCAATATAAGCAACAACATTTCTTAAATCAGCATCAGGTATTGTCACTTGTAACCAATGTCGCTCTTCCTGAAGTACATCACAATAGCATAAATAGACATACATATTAGTAGATGTTTTTGATAGAAAATAGTTGAATTGTGATCTGATCTTGAAAGTGGAGTATGTTTTACTTTTTTGGTTCTCAGACTCTGAATATCTATTGTTCTTGTATCTGTAGGTACAGAGCGCACCTGCAGTACCTTTGCCTGGCCATCTAGAAGCTGCTGAGTGTGAAACCGTGCCCTATATAGAAAGTTAATTACTATTTATTAAATTCAGTTATATCAAACATTAAGTGATATAATGTTGTTCTATACATACCATTCTCTAAGGATTTTGGCTTTATCCCCTTTAGGATCATATATGATCTCAGTAGACATACCAGTAGACAAAGAGAATCCTAGTAAAGAACTTTTAGAAGTTAATTTATGCAGATAAATACATAATATAGTTCACAAATTTGAATTATGAAATTAGTATTTATATTGATGCATACCTTTATGCATAGATGGTCTTAAAGCAGTGAAGCCAATCACATCAAAGGTTTTAGCATATAGGCTAATAGCATCACAAGCATTATCAGCTAAATCATTCCAAGTAGTTATGACAAGAGGTTGGTCAATGCTGGAAATCCAAAGACAATTTTAAATATAGTCTAAGATAATTTTCTATGAACAAGTCTGTATAAAGTTAAGATTATGTATAGACTTACGTCTGATCAGTTATCACAATTTTTCTAACATGCAACTCTCGGCCCTGATTAACATTGATAATTCGAACTTTATCTTCTACGTATAGAACAATGCCTAAAACATCTACAAAAACAGGAATACTAAGTATTTAGTGATAATGATGGATAAAGGAATGATCTTTTCCTTCTTGTCTTTGCTGTTTTCCTTTCTCTCTCTCTCTCTCTCTCTCTCTCTATATATATATATATATATATAATCAAAAGGTTAGATACTGGTTACCATATTTAGTGCCTGGTATTACAATACGAGGAATCGATTGTATAGCCTGAAACAGTGGTCCATCTGTTGTTCCTTCACACTTCACTTTCTGCACCACAGTTTGTCCTCCAAAACTCATCTGGAAAGGAAGTTCATCTGAATTGTTTCTCCATCGTTCTTCAACAAGCTTGATAGGAGCATTTGAAATGATATACTGGCTATTATAGACTATTGCTTCATTGAAGCTGTCAACTTGTTCCCCGAACAATGCTCCCTTCATTTTATTTCCCTGTAATTTACACTTAATCAACTACTATTGCTAACTTTCCTAGATGTAACTTTGATAGCAAACCTAAATATCTAGTCTATATGTATTTATATTAGTATTGAAAGCATATAATCAACTGAAGATAGGAAAGTACTTTTTCATCAATAAGTATCAAAGTCTGAAACAGAATTCCTTTTTTAGAAGTTTTTGGCCTTGATTTTTCTACAACTTTGACTTTAACACTATAATTCTTGCTATTGCTGTTTAACTCATTCAGATATACATACCCTTGTTCCATGATTATGTACCTACAGAATATAAACATGTATTTATATATGAGAAAACATGTTGCATTTATACATCACAATAACTTCACAATTTCATATAGACTGAATTTAAGTTGGTACTTTGCAAGCACCTTTATTTGCTGTAGATTATTGTAAATTTTGAATATAATTAATTTAAGTTTATATAGTTTTAGAAATTAACTATACTATAGAAGCAAGAAAAAAACAGCAAAGCATGAATATATGAGAAAAATCTAATATAAATGAAATCAATGAAAAGAAGAGGAAGAGTTATACCTTGAATATGCAGCAGTAATTGATAGTTAGAGAGCTTTGGAGCTTCTTGAAATACAGTCATGGATAATGACTCTTTTTTTATATATAGGCTGCACAAAAGAGAATAAGGACAGAGAGATGCACATGTGAGATGAATAATAAGTTGCATGTAAACACAGTTCAAAGATTTGTCCTCTTTCATATTCCTTAAGGCTGAAGGCATATGTCATATCTTGTAGGTTTCATTAGATCTTTCTTATACTTTGAAAAGATTTCATACTTTTATTTTAAAACAATAGTAGGCTAAAAGTTTCTTTAATTTATATATATTCTTTCTATTTTAATTGTTTTATTTAACAAGAGATATACAATTTTTATAACTGTTATATTACTTTAGGTTTATTGATGAAGCTACTGTTTGGTTGTTCTTCATTTCATAGCTAATTTGACTTAAGACATATATGTGTATATATTGTGATGCTTATATATGGATATTTATCTTTTTGTTTTTTCTTTGGTTCCATTTGTTTGTGTAGTAGATTACATTACATACAAAAAATATGCAACATTGCATATGTATCTTAAACAATAAAACAACATCCATAGTAATTCTATGACTACCTATAGTAAGGCAAACTACAAAATACAGCTGATTGCATTGACATTTCTTAACAAATCTCAACTAATCTTAAAACTTCATAACAAACTACATTTTTAACAGAAGTTGAAGGGAACTCTTCTGGAGGCATGGTAGAGAAAACAGTTACATCAGTTTGTTTCCTAGCTCGTGACAGAGCAACATATAGTTGTCCATGAGAAAAACAAGGACGAGGTAGATAAACAGAAACTCGATTTAGGGTCTGTCCTTGTGATTTATTTATTGTCATGGAAAAACTCAGTTTTAGAGGGAACTGTTTCCTTTCAAATTGGAAAGGGTACCTAACTGAAGCAGAAGGTCGGAGATTAATCCGTGGAATAAAAACTTCAGTGCCTTTGTATTGGCCTACCGCAATGACACACTGAACAGTATTTGAGAAAAAATTCTTGCAGATGAGGCGTGTCCCATTACATAAACCAGCAGAAGGAAGTAGATTTCGAAGCAATATAACGGGACAATTTTTTTTCAAAACAAGCTCATGAGGACTTAAACCACCAGGACATAGTTTATTCAAAAATTCCGTAGGATACACGTCACATGTATCACTTAGAATTGTGTCAAAACTTTTATATATAACAACATTACCGGGAAATTGTTGTATAAGTGAACTGTTGATAGAATCAACAATATCATTTAAATGAGTTAAAATAGCTCTCTCAGTGAACCAAGTTTCATCAAAATCTCCTTTATAAAACTCTGGAAAGACTGATGTGAAAACTTCTGATACAGGATCCACATTAGCTGCAAAAGGTTTAGAAATATTTGCAGGCAATTGAACATATGCATTTTCAGACTGCTGTAATTGACCATTTCCTAGAGCAAGTAAGAAAGAAGAGAATTCTGGATCATCCTTGGCTCTTTGATTCTGTGTCAGTTGGAATTTGATGAGCCGAGGCCATATATATGAAGTAACAATGCTGGATTGCACAATTTCCTTTTGATTCTTAAGCGGAACAACAGGTAATACTTGACGAAAATCACCTCCAAGAACAACCAATTTCCCACCAAACAGTTTGTTATTACTACATATATCTTGCAGTAATAGATCTAACGATTCTAAGTTACTTTTATTGGCCATAGAAGCTTCATCCCAAATGATTAATGTTGTTTCCTTCAAAAGTGCTGCTAGGCTACCTTGTTTAGGTACATCACATGCCAACGAAGCTTCAATATCAATCGGGATTTTGAACCTTGAATGAGCACTTCTACCAGAAGGAATGTTGGCTGCCGCAATCCCAGAAGTAGCTGTTGGCAGTACTATTTTATTCATTAACTTTATTTTTGCATATAAAGCATTATACAAGAAGGTTTTACCGGTGCCACCAGGTCCATCTATAAAAAATGCTCCAGATTTCCCTAGCTGGACATATTGCATTATTTGTGAAAAAGCAACCAACTGCTCACTATTGAGATGATCAATACAATCAATACATGACTGAGGTATAGGAGCATCTAGAGCATCAATAATGTCTTTCATACGCTGAAAGTCATCTTCTTCACCAAAACACAATTTAGGCAATCCTACAATTTTTAGTGATTTACCCATTGCTTCAAGATATTGCTCAAGTGACCTAATGGTCAGCTGCTTAACTTTAAGAACATTATCTTGATATTGATGTTGGAAATCTTCAGATAAAGATGTAAAATATTTACACCATAAAGAATAAGGGTCTTTTGGTTGACAGAATATCAGAATAGTTGCAAATAAACGGCGTAAAGCCATAGGCATGTGAGTTTCTTCTGCTTCTGACATAAAAGATCACCTATATCATCTTCCACAATTAATCCTAATTTTAAAGAAGCTTCCTGAAATGTAGGGTATAAGTGCCCATTCACAGTTCTGAGATTCTCAAAAGATGTTGGACTTCTAACATTTATTAGAAGTAATCTAAGAAAGAAATGCTCTCCTTCAGCTGGATAAACAAATGCTAATCTACCAACAACTATGATGTTTGCTTTTCTTTGAATCCACTCTTTGCTAGATGCATCCCATCGATAATGCTCACAAAATTCTCCATATAAATAACCCGTACCACCTTGAGACGAGTTTAGACATTAAGCAAAAATGGTTAGGCAACTCTATCACTCTGCTAATTCATTTGATCATTTGTTTAATAAATTCATTTTGTTTTCTATATATGTATTTTATAATTGTTCAATTAGTTAAGTTAGTTTCATTAGCTAAGTTAAATTTGGTTTTTAAATGTTAAATTAAATATTTTTTATCTATAGGTTTGAAAATCTGGTTAACAACTGGCAGAAAACTCTATCCTAAATATAACAGTTTGTATTATTGTCTAATATAAATGCAGTACGAATAATTAGATATCAAGAAAGTATAAAATTTTGTGCAAAGGGACAACAAAGTACATAAGCAATACTAACTTGCATATTAATAGTAATGTATACATACCTGGTATAACAGAATTGATTTTAAAGAATTAAGTCAACGGAGTTCTACGCCGCATACCATCAGAAACAACAGACTGTAGCCGTTCATGTGGCCTAAGCAAAATGCTCTGCATGTTCGGTAAATGTACTGGTAATGGAAGAACCGGAGGATACATTTCAAATAGATCGAAACCAAAAATTCTCCACACATCTTCGCACGATGACACCCACCTCCCAGATTGATACTGTTTAATCTCATCAACAACATTCTCTTTTTCAGGTACAATGTTGTATTGGATTCGATCATGACCTTTATACACATATTTATACAAATATTTGACAGCTCTGATAGTTGAACAGACCTCAACATTTATATGGCTATCAAACAGCACAGACAAGTATGGATTATATGGTATGACCCAACGATTGTCCAACTGAGCACCTCTTATTTTAACATGCTCTCCTGTGTTTTTTCGTCTGTATAAAGGATAGCCTTCTTTGTTTACAATGGTGTCATCAAACAACTGTTTAGGGTAACCAGATTTGCAAGATTCTGTATTCCTTGATCTGCGCATACATGAACATTTAGGATTCAAGTTTCCACATGGCCCATGCATCATATGTTGTAGTACTATTTTCCGAAGTACAGGAGCTGTAGTGGGAGGTATCTCTGCAGACACAAATCTATCATAATCTTCAATACTCTTCAGCTTGCACTCTGGTTTTAAGATAACCAGAAAGTGAGCATGTGGAAGCCCTCGTTTCTGAAATTCAACCACAAATATCATAGCTGCAACTTCACCAAAGCACTTGTTTTCCTTGATTTCTTTTTTCAAAGAAATTAATTTAGCATGAAAAATGCGTGCTACTAAATCAGGGCGATCTTGTGCTTGTTCATTAGGACCCAATTCATTTTTTATCTCAGGCCAGTTTGCATTACAAGTCATTGTTACAAAAAGATCAGGTTTCCCAAACTTGTGCACCAAATCCATTGCATTATAATATCTCTTTTTCATATCTCGTGGTCCTCCTATATAAGTAGGCGGTAGTATAACTCTACGCCCAACATTTGCTACAACAGTTTCACCACAATCCAGAGAATCAAGAACACCTTGATATAAATCAGCTCTGATTGTATCTTGATTCTTACGAAAGAAATCCAGCCTTGTATTTTCTATTTTGACATACATATCAACTATATACTGCTGTAAACATCTCCCTGCTCGAAGTAGCAAATTATTAGGCCTTATTTGTAATTTGTAAGCATAATATTCTCTAGCCGACACATGCTTGTCTGCTTTTGTATTCCATCTTGAAGAACACAAATTATTTCAAAAAACACAAATTATTATATAAAATGTGAACGTAAAATGTATATTAAAAAGATCTAGTATAAATCAATAGGTCAGAACATACGTGACTTTTCTTCTGCAAGTAACTCATCCTCAGTATGAACAGCACATGACATAATAGGATCAACTTGATTAGCTGATTGTTGTCTCCCTCCCCATGTTGTTTTCTTGAGCCCTTGAGTCCATCCACATTCACCTCTTGGAAATAAAATAGGGTATTGCAATGGATCATAACACCCATAAAAATGTTGAATGCGATGAGATTATGAAGATCTACCTTGAACAACAATATGAGGACTACTACTATGGCTAGAGCCTGAGTTATCTGGCCATATACCAGCAACTTCATCAACCGATGGAGCATTGTACACTCTTTGATCCAAAACTGTATCTTTATTCAGCACAATAGTTGTGGTTTGATCAATATAGCCACAACTTGGCATATGGATTATCCCTTGTGACATTCATCAATATAGCCACTATATCTTCCCTTACTTCTGGGAAACTTTTTGTGCGATTAGTACTTTCATGTTGACCATCATAGAAATAAAGCTGTAAATACTTAGCTTTCCCATCAGTAGGAAGTAAATCCGGAACAAAGTGATACATTTGACCATGCCCCTTAAACACATAAATTCCCTTGTGCGTATCAGAATCATAATTACCACCCAGTGAGCTGAAAGCAAATAAATTGTTGTACAACCGAGCATATTTCTTAAAATGAAGAGCATCTTCATCATCACTTGTAAAGAGTCTCTTTAACTCTAAGGGATATTCATTGACAGCAATTTGCACTTCTCCATTACCACAACAAAAATGCAATGTCTCATATGCAAACTTTTTAGCATTACATGTAGAACAATAATGTGGCAGAACTAATTTTGCAGGACCAATAGGCAATCGTAACCCAATCGTAGCTGCTGGAATTTCTACAAAACAAATAGTGCATTAATATACTAATATCATTCACGAACATGAAATAGAACTTTTTTGTGTAGTCTACAAAATGAATAGAATAGTTAATACCAATATTCCGAATAGGGTGTTGACTCTGTGTCTGCCTAGCCATCGTAGTCCTAGTAATAAAATGCAAAACAGTCATTTTTTTTAAAAAAAAAAAACAAGACAAGATTCATTTGATTGCTGTTCATAAGAAGGAGCTCAACATTAACTTGCCACTGCATTATATTATATATACCTCACAGGTTGCGACTGAGATCCCATTCCAATAACTTCGCTTCGTCTGCTTACTCGTGTTGTACGCCTAGTTACTCTGACATTGTGAGTAGTAACCTCTGAATCAATTCTCATGTTGAGCTCATCTACATCACTCAAAGCAGTCTATTCATAATCAACATCCATTTCAACATATCCATGAATAAATCTGAAAGTTTAAACTACCTGAAGTATTCACACGTGAAAGATTTGGACGCCTACGTTTGCTAGGCCTACTTTAGCAGGTAGTAGAGAGTTAGAAAAGTACTTATAACATTATAACACTATCAATACTATAAACCACAACTTTTGAAAAGTCTGTATATACCTCAAACTACTATTCTGTGTATTCAGCAACTCAGTTCCAGAATCAGGTTTTGCCATAGCTGCATTAATTACTATATCTTTAGTATCTCAGTCTATTTAGCAATTAATAGTATGTAGAGAATAACTAAAACTTTTAACAATCTTCAATACTATTATTCTACCATTACAATTCGCTGCCTCTTGAGCAGCACTTTGCCTACGCAATCTGCCAGTCCTACTGGTTCGTGCACTGTCATTATAAACACTATATGAAACAAATTCAAATATATATACACACTACAAAAGCAATCAATTGAAGTAGGCAACATTAAAACAAACATTCTTTTAAAAACAGACAAAACTTATTTGATTACTGTTCAAGAGAAGAAACTCTACATTAACTTGGCACTACATCATACTATAAATACCTCACAGATTGCGATTGAGTCCCCATTTGAATTATCCTGCTTCGTCTGCTTACTCGTGTTGTAAGCCTAGTTACTCTATCATTGTAAGGGGTAACCTCTGCTTCAATTGCCATGTTAACCTCATCTCTCAAAGTATTATTTTGTGTATTCAGCAATTCAGTTCCAGAATCAGGTACTGTCGTAGCTGGATTGATAATAATTATATCTTTAGTATTTCAGTCTATTTGGCAATTAATAGTATGTAGGGAATAAATAAAATTTTTAACTCTCTTCAATACTATTATTCTACCATTGGGATTTGCTGCTTCTTGAACAGCACTTTGCTTACGCAATCTACCAGTCCTGTTTGTTCATGTACTATCATTGTAAACACTTAATGAAACAAATCTAAATAAATATACACAATGCATAAGCAATCAATTGAAATAGGAAACTTTAAAACAAACTGCATATAGTAAGCACCTGATAATATTTTACTGCGACATGGCTGCTATTACATGCCGACGTCTACCTGTATTTGGTAAAGACCTTGACATGAAGCTCATATTAAAACATATTCATAATATCACATATTGAGCTATAATCAAAACAATAGTACCATAAATAAGGGTCTAATAAATAAATCATTGTAGCTATAACAATAGCACAAAAGTTATATTATATTATCTAAATAACAACAAAATTTGTTCGACATAAATTTTGAATAACCATATATATATATTCAAAAGTGTTTCATACAACCACATAGATGTAAACATAATTTATGATACATCATGAAAATTGGTATATAATTAAACATTCTTAACTACATATTACAAAGCTTTAATCCACAAAGATACATAACATAAGATAGTTGATATATAACTACATCAGACATAATGTATTTTGCTAACTAAAATTCTAGACCTATACAAATTTAATTCTTTTTGCTGCTACAGAGGAAATGCTAGTTTCAGACTTGGGTACACCCGAAGTCCCTGATAGCCTTTTCAAAACTAAAAGAGCAGGAGTGCTTGGAGCAGGAACAATCACAGCAGCTTCAGAATTATCCTTAGATAGAGTAGATGGACTTTCTGCAGCTAAGAAAGGTAACGGTTGTGCATTATATTTATGCCCTTTCTTTCGCTCTTCTACTGCTAAACAACTTTCCCTTTCTAGAGAACCTAAAACTCCTCTAAAACTTGCACATCCATAGTTTGCATCCACAATATCCAAATTATATAACTGCATAATATAATAAATTGTTTTCTTAGCAACCATTTGTACAGACTCATTGCTATCCACACACAATTCACTGAATATACACTCCATCCCACTCGTGACATAAACAGAAGTGACTATAAGCCAAGATATATAACCCTGCCCTTCTGAATACAATGTTTCTAAACCAGTTACAAGAACACCAGTTTGCCTAATGACTTTAGGAAGAAAGGCCACAAAATCAAGTGCAACATGTAGAACATCACCTACAATCTTCTTACTACAATTATTTGTTCCATTACGACATTCTACAGATTTGCGTTTTAGCCTATACAACTTTCCACACAAGTCATACATTCGCATTCTATCCATTGTGAAATCACCAACACACACACCATATTTCTTAATTAAAAAGGACACTGCTCTCTGAGCTGCATTCTCTTTAGATTCCTCAATGGTAACTGCTTCTCCATCAAACCAGAAAATACCACGCTCACCCTCAGTTCTTATATACACACATGAACTACACTTAACTGGATCACAGAATAAGTAGGCCTAGGGAAGTCAAGACAATCAGTGATCTGAACCAATAGTGGCTGGAAAGGGATAGAAATTTTTTCGCGTGAAGAAGATGAAGAGGCCATAACCTGAAAATGCCACATTTCTATAATTTAAGAAACTGACCTTATGAATATAAACAATATTCATGATAAAAACATACACACACATAACGACAAAAGTGAGTATTAACTTCACTAATAACCAGAACAATACATAATCTAAAAGTAATAGATAAAATGAAGCTACTATGTTTCAATTTACAACTCAAACATATACATGTAATCCAAGTTACAAAGAAAGCAGTGCATGACTTTTAATATTAATATACTATTCCAATTTAGCTATTTGAAAGTTTAGATGACAAAAAGCCAAATATACTCTCAAGAAAAGGTTCTGATTCAAAGAACCTGTTTCCAAAGCTGTGATCAAGTTATCATATTTCAGGATTTCCCAATGCTAATCAATCCCTACTCCATAACTCACGTTATTCAAATCCCCTTCTATTTCCACCCGCACCAGCCTACCTACATAATTTTCCCTAAAGACCACCAATCCTCTAGCCAACCGTGACAACCTCTTTTGCTCCTTTACTCGAAACTTTACAAAGTTCTTTCGAAAGAGAAGTACTCCAAGGATGAAGTTCAAAACACTTGATTACTAATCCTTGGAATAATTCTGATTCCAGAGAACAGTGTAAAGCTTAGAGTGAATCGGCAAAAGAGTTTGTCACTGTTAGCTGGACAATAATTGATCAACAAGGATAATCAAATAGCAAGACTGGTAAAAGTCAAAAAAAAGGAAATTAAAAGAACTTGAATAATAGAGTACCAAGAGACAATGAAAAGCAAACCACATGAAAATAAAAACCTAAACACTTTTATGGCACTTAATCTTTTAAGAATCAAATGCATTGCATTTTTTTTAAACTTGGAAGAAGCCATCATGATGTGAACAACATTCTAATATCAATATGAAACATCAAATGATTGATTCAGATAAATAAATGGCTTACTTGCAGCCTAATATTGCAATAGTTAATTTCTCAATATTTCCCCTACTCAATTTATTTTGTTTGTTATATTATGACAGGATTTCCCAATGCTAATCAATCCCTACTCCATAACCCACTTTATTCAAATTTCCTTTTATTCTCACTCGCACCAACCCACCTAAATAATTTTCCCTACAGAGCAATTATCCTCTAGCCAACACTGACAGCCTCTTTTGCTCCTTTACTCAAAACTTTGCACAGTTCTTTTGAACAAGATTACTTCAAGGATGAAGTTTAAAACATTTGATTACTAATCCTTGGAGTATTTCTCATTTTAAAGAGTAGTCTAAAGCTTTAAATTAAATGGCAAAAGAGTCCGTCACTGTTAGCTACACAACAATTGCTCAATAGGGATAACCAAATAGCTAGACTGGTAAGAGTCAAAAACAACAAGGAAATTGGAACAACCTGAATAATGGAGTAGCAAGAGACAAAGAATAGAAAACCACATGTGAAGCTTAAAATCACAACCTAAACAATGGAATAAGAAGAGACAAAGAATGGAAAACCACATGAAGCAAAAAAACTCAAACACTATCAACCCACCATCAAAGCTATATCTTATCTTAAACCAAACACATCTACTGAAAATAATAAGAGAGTATAAAAGCCACTACTATTTCTTACAATTAATCACTATTACTAAAACTACAAGCACAAATAAATACATCTAATGCAATGAACGATGAAGCCAAAAATTTAACCACACAAAAACCAGAAACAATCTCAATATACATAGCACAAAAACTTACCAAAAGAAGTACTTCAACCACAGCAATAATCACTATAATAACTTCCAAAGGATGAACAAACCTAGTAAAACCACAAAGCAATCGAAAGGAAATTAACAAAAAATACAGAACAACTGGAAGATTCACCATAAATAGAAGGAAATCAGAAAAACCAATAAATGATACCTTTTTACGGTTCATGCAAACAAAGAGCTCTATCAAAATATAAACTGCTGAAATTCTTTGAGTGTAGTATATAACAAGACTCATGCATGTATGTATTTTAAGTTAACCTAAAACCACAAGCAACATAAAGTACAACTCACCAAAGCTACTTTTTCAAGAATTCCTAATTTGACAAATCTAAGGAATATTTTAATATTACTATATTTTTGCACTTATAATATTAAATCTCTTACAAAAATATTTAGATACAATATAGTAATATACAATCAAACACTCAATATCAGAGTATAGTCAATTACAACTTTAAAACCAAAAGCATACACACATGCAAAATTAATACTGATCATCACTTCTATCTATATCACTCGTGTAATATCCAAATTAATAATTAAACATTATTAGTCTCTCACTCATTAACAAAAGGGGAAAAAACAATAAATAAATTATTACAGATAAAAACAAAATTAATAACTCCTACTAATCCAAAATAATTACAAAATATAATTCATTAACCAAAAATAATTACTCCCAAAAATGAAAAAACGACATTTCAAAAAAATTACACCCATAATTAAATACACCCACAATAAAAAAACACAAAATAAATTAATTACACCCACAATTACAACCACAATTAAAAAACACGAAATAAATTTATCCCATAATTAATTGATCGACATTTATTAATATTAATAAAAGCAAAAAACACAACAATAAAAGCACAATGATTGCTCCCATAATCAATTCAACCAAATCAAGCAAAAAACACACAACAAAAAGGATGATCCGAAATGGAAAAAAAAATAAAACAAAAAGAATAATAACAGAGAAAGACAACAAAGATAAAGTAATATGGAGAGAGAATAGAAGAAAGAGACAAAAAGAAGAAACAAAAAAGAAAAGAAGGAAGAAGCACGTGACAAGGGCAGAAATGACAATCCACTTTCCTAAGCTACAGTAGCAAACTCCTCACATTCATAGAAAGGGTTTGGATAACATTTCTTGCCCTTCTTTGATCTTTTCCAAAACTTCAATATGGGAATGTGGGTTTTTAGAACCTCTAATAACATTAGTGTTCTCTTATATATCTCTAATTCTACTATACTCATTATGTTTTTTCGATGTGGTACAAGTTGTGTAACATCAGATTAATATTTTTATAGTTTGTACAATTATACACATTTACTGATATAATACATACTATCAACAGTCTAATATTAGTAATATACATAACATTTTATTAATTATACAATCTAAATTTGCTTTATTTTCTCATAGAATTGTAATACTTCGTAATTTAAGTAAAGTAATAGTGTGTTTTTAGTTTAATGTTCTTGTATATTAGAAATTAAACCGAGCTACTCGCGAGCTTTTCGAGTCGAGTAGTAAGTTGCTCGACTCGACTCATTAAGGTCCCAAATCGAGTTCGAGATCGAGCCAAGCTAACACGAGTTGAGTTTTGGTCGAGTCAAGCACATGTAGCTCGCGAACTAAATTGTCTCATAATCACACCTATAGGCCACATGGTGTGACCAATCACTTATAAGAATTTGTGAAATAATTAATAAGAACAAAGTTAAAAAGAAAAAAAGGTTTCAAAATTAAAAAAGTTAAAAAGAAAAACAAAAATCTAAAAATAAAAATTTTATCAAAAATGGGGCGTTCCGAGAATCGAACTCGGGACCTCTCGCACCCAAAGCGAGAATCATACCACTAGACCAAACGCCCTTATTGTTGTATAATATTTAACAATAAAATATTTATATGTATTAAGTATTTAATTAGCTGTTTTCATCAATTGTTTGTGAAATAACAAATAAAAATGGCTGAAAACTGCACCAAAAACCCTTCTTCCAAAACCAAAAACCCTAGAAATTAGAACTAAACCAAATCCCCATTTTCCCCCAATTTTTTGTAAACAAGAAAAATCAAAATGGTTTGGTTTCAATGTGAAGATTGTGGGGAAAATCTCAAGAAGCCTAAACTCCCTAATCATTTTCGCATGTGCTCTGCATATAAGGTTTATAAATCTCTCTCTCTCTTTTTTTTTTTTTTTTGAATGTTTTTGTAATTTTTTCTGGAAATTTACTGTGATATTTTATTTGAAGTAATGGGTTTTTGACATTTGAATTTCTGGAACAGTTATCTTGCATCGATTGTGGGGAGGTGTTCGATCAGCAGCGTGTTCAATCTCACACTCAATGCATAACTGAAGCTGTATGATTTCATTACTGATATTTAGCAAATTTTATTTTTATTGTTTTGGTTATTTTAATGGGTATTTTCTATTAATTTTATTTTCAATGAAGATGGGAAAAAATGGTAGATTAATATTGGATTGAATTAATTTGCTGGAATTATAAATTGGGGTTGGTTTTTCTGCTTGCAATTGCATTTAAAATATGATGGTATTGGTTATTATACATAAGTTAGTATTTGTGATTTTTCGTCGACAAGGAGTTAAGGAGATGCAATGTATGGCTTGAAATACTCTCATTTTTCGGAAAGGGAATGATTGTGAAAGCGAATAACCAAAAACGAATTGCTTTTGTATGGTTTGAATTACTCTCATATTTCGGATTTCATTAGGAATAGAGAAATTGTTAGTGAGACGAAGTGACTTTAGACTGAGTTTAGGAGTCTTACATACCAAGAGTTATGTTCAAATTAATATTATTCCATGGATTATTTGAGTTCTATGTATATATTTTTATTTGGAGTTCTATGTATTTTTATACCAAGAGTTATGATCATTTTTTCCCCTTTGGAGGCATTCGATTAAAATTTTACTTATTCAAACAACTGATGTAAGGCATGCTCTTTAAAGGCTTTCTTTTACAGTGGTGCATTGCTAATGAAATGTGATTCATGGTTGAAAGTTTCTCTCTTGCCTTTTAATGGAATTATGGAGAATACATTGCCCTCATCTTGGCCTTGTTTGGTTTTTTACTTGTCAGCTTTTTGATTAATATTTGGCCTTTCCGAGTGTTAGAAATAATCTGTTTGGTTAATGAGTTATTAATTGGATTTGAAGCCATCATTTTGGAGATGTTTTATCCTTATAGCGTTCAATGCCGTGCTTAAGTTCTTTTTTATAGTTCAGGGTGGAAATTCATTTCAATACGTTGTGTTTTTCAGGAAAAGTATGGTCCAAAGGGTCAAGCAAAAGCTGCAAGTGGTACACCTGCAAAGCCAAATATTGATAAGCCAAAGCCAGATGTTGATATAAATATTGGATTATCTAATCGATATCCATGGTTTTGCAGGTGCATCTTTTTTTAAAATATGTTTGTAGAGGCCTTCTCTATGCATGTGGATAAACCAATATTAATTATTAGTTATTTAAAGGCACCTGTTAGCTGAGCTATGATCTCAACTTTACCTTGATGGTTTTGCCACACAATGTTGATCTTATTGTCCTTTTATTTAGTGTTAAGACAAATGCTGCAAGGTCTTGCCCCAATTGTTTCGTCTCTCTTGTCCATAATATGAGACCAAAGTTCAGTTTAAGCATAACTGTGTGTACATAGTGATGAAGATGTTCAGTTTTTAAGTTGAGCTAACATCTTTTAATAATAATTATTATTATGGAGAGTATCAGTACCCTCAATTTTCCTTCTTGCTTTGTTGTTGGATCATCAAAATTCTTTGAAGATTGGCTTACACTCTTACGTTGATAATGAACTGAAGCTGTTGTCTGAAACTGTGATTTGGTTTTATATAAGGAACCTTTTCTCTTTTTCAAAACTTGCCGAATCAGTTTCTTTGGTACCATTATTTATTTATTAACGCTTACATTTGATATGTAGTCTTTGCAACACCAAAGCTACTAGCCAGCAGGCTTTGCTTTTGCATGCTGATGGAAAGAAGCACAGAGCTAAAGCCCAAGCCTTTACTGCAAAACAACAGCCTAATCCACCTGAGGAAGGGGCTGTAACCAATAAAGACTCTACAGAAAACACTCCCAAAACTGAAGTTCCAATTGACAAAAGTATAAAGGATTCAAATGAGGCCTTAGGAAATGATAATTCTTCAGCTGAAAATGGGAATGTTTCTGTGAAAAAGAGAAAAAAAGACGCATCTATTGACATGGAAAAATGTGCAAATGGAGCAGTTAATGGTTTTGTTACTCAAGAAGAAGCAGAGGAAGCACCTAAGAAGTCAAAGAAAGGCAGGAAAGACTCAGAGGTTAAAGGTACAGAAAAGAAGAAAGCCAAAAATGAAGCAAAGGAAGGTGAGGGAGGCACCACTGGTACTGGAAAAGAAATTAAGTGGAAGAAGCTGATATCTTCCGTGCTTAAATCTGTGAGTATCTGTTCTGCTTTCTTTTTGAATATTTCTATAAACATTTTCATATTGTGTATGGTTCATTGCTTTATTTTGGGACTAAGGCTTTGTCGTTGTTGCTGTTGTTTTATGGTTCATTGCTGAAAAAAAAAAGCTATGTAGTAATTTCTAGCAGTGATTTTAAACTTTTACTCATATTCTGGATGCACAGTCATTGAGGATAAATAACTAAGGTATGCACTCATTGAGGGAAAAGATAGGAAATGATGGGAAGGAAAGAAGGACCGAAAGAAGTCAAATTTTAGAAATATTTGCAAAGAAATGCACCTATTGCACCAGAGTACCAGACCATCTTCCCCTACCTCTCCTTCCTCCCTTTTCCTCCGTCCTTTTGATTCAAGGTCTTATTGTTAGAATGTTAGTTTGTTACTGGCTTTTGTATCAATTGTGGTCCTGGCTCCTAGGTATAACCATATTGGATATAATTTTCACTCTTCAGCTACCTACTTTAAGGTGATAAATTCAATTATGAGCCATACAAGTTTTGTGAACCTTCGTTCCATTTTGGCATTTGGCAATCCATGTATGAATTGATACTGACTTTTAAATTAAAGTATTTAGACAAAGTCTTGTCATGGCTATAGTCATCTCAATTAGGAGAAGTATAGTAATATTTGAATTCCAGGGTGTCACAATAAGCAAGTAAAGTTGGTAAAACTTGGAGAGTATTTCATATGAAATATTAGATGAATAGATGATTAATTTCCCAGTAGCTTTGTGAAACTACTGAGTCTGAATTTTAGGATGCTTTGAGATAAAGCAAAGATACAGGATCTTTTGAGTCCAGCCT